CCGAACATGCACTCGCCTTGTGATGAGCTTCTGCTGCTTGCAAGTGATCAACCTGAAAACTGAGCATGTCCACCTGATACTTTGCCAGTGTAGGGCCGCCATGCTCCAACGACAAGCGTAACCACATTCCTAACAAGGCCCACGCGTCTGCCCCCGCATGRGGACAACAACCAATGCGTCTGCAACCGCAAGGGAAGCTGTTTTAGGGTCATTGGAATGGGAACACGAACATTGAATGGCCTCTTGCTAGGCCTGATAAACAGTCTGCTCGAGTAGTGTACCCACATTCCTATCAAGGCCCACGCGTCTGCCCCCGCATGAGGACAACGACCATCGCGTCTGCAACCGCAAGGGAAGCTATTTTAGTGTCATTGGAATGGGGACACGAGCTATGAAATGGCCTCTTGCCAGGCCTGATCTGAATTCTGCTCGCTCCTGGGTGGAAGTGCCTAGGGACTGCACCCCACAAAATGCTGCTTGTCGAAATGACCGCTTCAACTGGCTCTGGGCTAATCTGCTGAAAACCAACTGCGACTGCAATTGGCCAACCTGGCTTTGATACCAACTGTCACGGGGTTAATTGACGAGGCCCCGTGCGGCGCTCGATGGGGTCGAGAAAGCCTACGAATGCAAGCAACAACACACAAAAGGCAACAAGAACGCACACAGATTAGACAAAAGGTAACTTGTATTGCATTAATAAGTGGTAAGCACAAGCACACAGTACAGTGTCGAGGGGATCTCGTGCTTAACCTTTACACGCTTATGAACTCACTCGACTACCTACCTTCCCTCAAAGAGTACGTTAAGCTTTTGGGGGAGTGACAACAGGAAACATAAAAAGGATCAAAAATCATACTTGTACTTACAATAACGCCCTTGGCGGTCCCCCCTTACAAAATACATGAGTAGCCCACCCTAGACACACATGCTGACACCTTGAAGGCACGCGGTTGGCACTCTGATGGCTCATGGTAGGTGCTTGATGGCGCGGCGAAGGAGTCACTCGTGACATTCTCCCCCACTCGATTCGATCTACGTCCTCGGAGATCGGCTTCGGCTGGTCCCTTAGAGTCACTGTTGCGGAAGGAGGGTTCTTCTGCTGCTCCCCGAACCGACTGTCGTCCAAGGCCGAGGTGTATAGTTTGGTAGCATGGTTGGGTTGGCCTATTCTGTTGGGGTTTCCTCTGGTTAAGTCCTTTCCTGGCAGCCTCAAGTTATGTTAATGGCTGATTCAGCTTGGTTACAGGGTAGGTTTGGGCTAGGTAAGGGTCAAAATGATGTTTTGGATTGCTGGGGTGTTGGTTCTCATGAATTTTTTCCCAAGGGTGACTCACAAGGCTACTACGTGATTCATTCTGATGGATGGTGCGAAAGTAGTTCCTAGGCGGCTTGGGTGGCACTCGCTTTCCCCTGTGGTTGTGGTAGTAGGTGATGTTAAACTTGGACACGACCTTGGGTCTTCTGCTTTGCTTCATGGTTGTCGACGCGCACGAACTCTGTTGCTGGAGAGGTGTAGATGGCTGGATGGCCTGCTGCTTCCTGCTGCTGCTGTAGTTGTTGGCTTGAGGGGCGGCTTCTTTATCTAGTGGAGTGGGGAACTTCTCTGCTTCCTTCATGTTGGCGTTGACCAAGACTTCTCCATGAAAAAGTTGTAGTGCAGAAACTTGCTTCCCATGAACCCTAGTAGAAGTCACAACTGGTACCATGCAAGGGGAGCGCTCATCCAAGATGCATAGAGAGTTGATATGAGGCAAGAGTGCTGCTTCGGCTTGTCTCATGAAGTCCATTCCCAAGACAACTCGGAAGTCATCCAGGGGTACCACTGAAAGATTAATCTTGCTTGTCCACGGCCCAACTTGGAGGTCAACCCCACGAGCC